CTCACAGCCTGGAGAAAAATATTCATTTAGTCAAGATATTCTTTGGCACACGTGGTTTATGTTCATTGCGTCGTAACAAATACATATACCTATGCACGCCAATGAAAATACCGTTAACTTTATGCTGTGTCTTACAAATGCAACACATTCTTCTTTTGACATTATTGTGGTAACTGTGCTATAATAAACTAAAATAAACTCTAGAAATATTATGAACAAAGAAAAAAGTGGACTTGCGCTGCTTGATATACAACATGCAGTACATGAGAAACATGTCTGGTATAATGTCTCTTTACCTTTTTACATTTCTTTCTCTCTTTATAACTCTTTATACTTTGTAATCCGCGCGACGCGAGATGCAGTAGTTTAAGCGTTCTAAATTGCACTAGGAAGTCTGGATGCCGCGTAGTTTACAACTTAAACAGTTGCAATAATTTGTTTGAAGGACGAAAATCATTTATCCCGGTTGGCAATCGGTAATTTCGGGACATTAATATCGCACGTCGGAGTAATCGATTCGAGCGATTCATTGATATCGTAAACTCGCACGCTGCCGACAACGGTCGACGGACGTTGACCATGACATAAAGCATGAACGCCGCCCACGGGAAGTGGTTTCTGACCGTCGAGACTCGTCGTTGGGGGCCGGGGAGAGAAAGATTCCTACCCGCCCTCGGCCTGTAATTCCCCGTTCTGCCATCATGCTCGCGCACTTAACCCATTTTGTCTCGAGATCTTGCCTACCCGGAAAATACGGGCCGGCAACGGGAACGAGGGATGCATAACGATCCGCGAATTCCCGACCGATTACGAGCCGTTTTGCGATGGAGAACGGAAGCGGACACACGCTTTAATGTGTGTTGTAATGCACGCGCGGAGGGTCGAGACGAGCTTTCAGTCGAGAGTCGCGTTTTTGCAGTCTCGCGGTATTCCTATTTGAATGCGTCCGAATTGGTCTAAATCGCGAATCGCACTTTGTTACAATGAAACGTTACACGGGCCAGAAACCTATTGATATACAACCAGCGTGAGCTATTAGTCCGCGTGTAGGGGAAATGGTTTAGAGGAAGAAATGGGTAGAATATCTTGGTGATGGCATAGCAGAAATAGCACACGGTGCAACAGCTTCAGGGACCGTCACTTGAACTGGGTTAATGATCGCAGCGAGATGATTTATAATGATTAAGCCGTTGCGCGTTCACGGTACTAGAGAGTAATTTTTCAATGCTTCAACGACAGTAGATTAGGTAAAGCAATAATTCCTAATATCGGTTTTTTTTAGTTTGCTTTAAAATGTTAAAATCCCTAAAGACGTGACCCAAATTGCAGGAAAATGATGGCGGAGTGAGTCAGCACCGCCACTTTTCCGACAGGTCGTTTGATGAATTTAGAATCGATTTTTCATAGAACGAATCTCTGTTCGGAAGCCATTATTTGTAATCTTTCAATATTTCACGCAGGATTATAGCTATTATTATAATATGTGATAGCAATATAAAGTTGTAGTTAAAAATAAATTACAGAGATTTTGCATTCCTTTAAAACTCTAAATCTTTAAAGGCTTATCAACTGCTCTCGATTAAATGGTACACAAAGTAGATTGACTCTTAAGATTAAAGATAAAACGCACCGTTTATCAGGAAGAAACGGCACGAGTTTCTTTAGGGACTTTCTCCCAGGTTCTGATTGACTTAATCGGCGCGCCTTTAATTTTCTCGATTTACTCAGGTCTTAAACGCTCGACTTCTCAACAGAGCTCTAGAGAATCGGTGAGACGACTTACGATGTCGAAACTGGAATCTAGAGTCTAGCTACCTATAGATGGAATTAAAGTAGGATTATTGGATCCGAAGTTAGTTTAGTAGAGATTTCGAAGGCTTCTTACCAGCGCAAAATAAAAATTATCTTGATTTAGGACTCTTGAAAAAATGTTCATTTTGTTTTTGATGATTATATACATATATAATTAGATAGATAGATGGATGGAAATTTATCTTAATAATAAATTTATCATTAATTTGATTACATTTACAAAATATTGTATATGAAAGCATCACTTAAACGTAATTAAATTAATAAGTTTATTATTAAAATAAAGTTTCACTTAATACTTCTTTTCGTAGCCTCAGGGATATAAGTATCAGATTTTAAGTTTTGTTCTGGCAGAAAAAAAAGACATTGGAGAAAATAATTTCGCTACACAGGGAAGATCTTTATTTTTTTTTTTCTTATTGATGGTGCGAGATTACTAAATACGAACGGCAGAACACGGCGCGGAAAAAAGAGATGAAATAAGCAAGTGCACCCAGTAGGAACAAGGTCGGAACTCTCTGGCCTCTTCGCAGGATGGTCCTGGCTAATGTCAAGATAAATGCGATTTCCTGGGATGGGAAACACGGAGCAGGGGTAACGCGGGGGCGAAAGAAGAAAAATATTGTTTGCCGCGAAAACTGGGGCGCACATCCTGAAGAAGGGCGTTGGTAGTGGTTTGACCACGAAGGCGTCACGCGGGGGTTGAGGTGGAAAAAGCCAAAAGCGCGCGTCGGCTCTCGTGCCGGAGTAGCTTGCCAAAATTTCCAAGGCGTAAGATTCGTTTTTAGAGCGGAATTAAGCGGAGGAAGCTTTTAGAATAGGGTTACTTAAATCGGGTCACAAGAATTCTTGCCTCAATGGAAAAACGCCGCAAAGTTGATAACATACGATCCGTCTCTCAATGTATTTTCAGCAGCAGATGTTATTATTTATTCACAAAGATATGTTTTCCTGTTTCTTCCATCGGAAGAAATATTACTTTGCGTTTGTTTATCTGCTGTTTCTTCGCAAAAGTACCTATGAAATATTTAATAAAAATCTTAAAGGAATTCTCGTGAGCGAGCGTACCTTCCATTAGTGCAATCTTCTTTAAAATCCGAGTTCTATAATTCTAGCAGAGAAAATTGATACTCTTCAGAGTATTTTATGCTTATTTACACGAAATTAAAAGTTGGAAGTATTAATTAACATTTATTATATTGCAATCTTCAAACTTTTTAATGCCTTGATCAGCTATGAAGCATTTTCGCCGCAGCTAGCTGTATCAAGTGCAAATTTAAAAAAGTATATAAATGCAAGCAACCTGACTGTTATCACTTTTCAACGCTGCCGAACAATTATTCTCAAAATATTCACGATTGCTCGTTTATTGAGCACCAGTCTCCCCTTGAATACACGGCGATTCTCTGAATTCCATTTATTCAGAGGACCTTGCCAGTTCGTGTTTGCATTCTACTAGGTATTGTTGAGCTTTCGCGACTATTTTCCGGGATTGGTAGATCGGCGGATAGAGCTAGTGTTGCCGTCGCGATCGCTCAATGTCTAGCGCATAGCTTTAGGCCAACGAGAACGACCTCAGGAGCTCGTTATCGTGGATGAATTCAATGCATCGCAGACGACAGCGAGCGACAGCGAATTCAAGCGACGCTGGCTTAGCCGCGTTCGGACCATCCATCTTGCTTCGGATGGTTGTCCTCCCGGTAATGCCGAAGATACCGATCCAAGGAGGCACCGAAGCGGGGTCTATCGGCGGAAGTTACGCGTCTTTCCACGGATATCGGTTGGTTCACGGTCATTTCTCCTACTAACAATCCAATCATTGCAAATTGGATACATTGATCCGTTGCGTACTCGAATTTTTTTAGATAAAGCATGGTAGCAAATAAAATAAAATAGAGTTAAATTCAATAGATGCGATCACGACAAGTTTCCATATCACTGGAAATGCTGCTAGTAAAAATAGGGTAATGCGTTTTTGTGGAATACAGTCTACCATGCATTTTCACAATTAATTGGGTAGATAAGAAAACCTTATTATCTTATTAAGCACTTTGCAGATAATACTTTCAAGTTTATAGAGTTATATTATTCTTCGTGTAGATAAAGTTTCTCATGTAGATACACTTGTAATAACAGGTGTTAATAATATTCTACGTAATCGATTTTTTTTATTACGATATATAGAGCATCTATTAAAAATATTATTTTGCCATTAATATATCTCGTTTCCATTTTGAAATAAATAATTGATTACGTAGACAAGCCATTGATATTAATTGGATATAACTTAAAATATCTGATTTTCATTAGTGTTATAATTGTTTTAATTAGTCTGTACATTTTATTTGAACGTTCTAAATCTCCAACATTAGGAGCATTTTCACACTATGTCCCCACGATATTCCCGCACCGCCTTTGGCAATAGCCTCTGTGTGACCTCGAAACGAATGTATTTGGCGTCTCTGCTTTAAGAGATATATCGGTGGCAGGATTAGTCGATTTTTCCTCATGCCAACTGTCCTCGAATTTGTGTTCATTCGTTGCGAGATGCCTCCATGTGAATCTTCCGCGTTTCAACAAATTTTAACAGATTTAGAAACTAGTTTACGAGTTGCTGCCCTTTCACGAGAATGCACTTGGGAATCTTACGTAAACTCTTGCATAAAGTTCTTCGGTATATCTGCTTGCAAGCTTTATAATTTCATTGCGTAATTTACTGGAGAACGTGAACTTGACGCGAACAGCGAGTCAGCGCGTAAAACATAAAGTTTCAAACGTGTGTGCCTGCTAAAGGTTACCCTGAATTATCTGTCTTCAACAGCCATACATAGATGCAAACACGTACACACACATAGCAGCCGACTTAGTATCGGTGTTGACACAAACGCCAACTAAATTTTAAACCTGGTAATTCTGTTATACCTTGTAAACAAAGCTGTTGCTTAAAGAAAGAAAAGCCAAGATTGCATTTGTGTGATATTCTTTTTAACTGTTACTAACGTAAAAGGCAACAAGCAATATTTAATTTGCAGAATGTCAGTTTTGCGATTCACGCTACGCAACACACTTTGTACACACTGAATCATTCGTGGATATAATGTTCTTTTACGTTTGAGGTTGTTAATTATCAGCAAACGAATTGCTTGTCAATTTGAATTTCATTTACAAAGGGAATAAACTTGACTTACCCTTTCTATATGGCCGCCACTAACGACCTCCGGCGTGTTAACACAGACTACTCTTTTCAAGCGTAGTTTGTTAACGTGAAAGGCCGAGCCGTAGCAGTACATCAGCACCATCGTCGTCGGGAAATAAAAACAGCAACACGCCAGGATCCTGAAAAAGGAGATACGATAAAGAGCATTTTCCGGTCCAGAAAAGCAGTAATTAGCGCGTCATGCGAGGGGGGAATATAAAGTGGCGCGGCGAAGATGATATCATGCGAACGCAATAAAATTATATTTGCACAAGCAGATTGCACGAAATCTGATGATACGTGTGCAAAGTTTATTGGTATGTACAGCACGATAAAAACAGTTACACAACGCATCCGTTTCAACTTCCTCTACTATAAATTAACGTAATTAATAATACTTTGTAATCTACTTGGTGTCGGTTGACTCCCGAGTGCATTTAAATTATCTGTACAGGTTCTTTTTTATTCGATTTCCATAGCAACGTGTACAAAAGTCGTGATACAAGTGGGTAATTCTGTTTGAACAAATGTGGCGAGATAGTTTCTAAACTACCAACCCGATAGAAACGTTACGATAGTTCGAAAAGACGGTTTTCCGTATTTAGCACCGGTTTAGATCAGACTTTAAACGCACCGGAAGGGAACATTAACGTAGATATATCGCTATCTTTCACGGTTGATCGCCTCGGTCGTTCCCCGGAGGCGATCGACCGCGCGACGGCGTTCTCCACATTAAATTGTAATTGTCCACGATTGGTCACCGGCATGGTGAACAAATGCGGCACGAGCAAGATCGTGAAATGTCAGGCTTATCACTGGCGATACCTAAGGGACGCTCTAGCGAAGAAGGGATCGCAGGCAAGGAGACCAGACCCGTTGAAGTAGTAACCGCCTCTGGGGAGTACTAGAACCCCGAAAATTGCCACGCTCGCTATCCAAGTGGTCGACATCACTGCCACGCAGCCCTGCCGCATGTAATACTGTGTCAACATAGACAGAAAACGATCACTCTTTCTCACCAATACGCCGTGCTCATTTTATAGATATGGTGTACGTGTGTATGCATATGTGTATTTGCCTCTGTATTTCTATCGGCCAGTACCGGGGCTTGTTTGCACATATTCCACATTTCGTAGCGTAGTATATCACGCGTCGTTTACTCAAACGATTACCATGTACTGTTTTTTTTTTATTGGAAATCTCAGGATGCTATTGCAAATATCCAAATGGACATATGTTTGTTCGAAATATCTAATATTAATATGGGATAAACAAAGTCTGCGATGTACATTTGTCGAACGTATCGATGCATATAATTTTTGAAACAATGATCAAAGAAAATGTACGCAAATAGCCTTGAATTGAATATAAATATATTACATTGTAAATATTAAAGTAAAATGTGAAGAGAAAATTCGCCGTTTCTGAAAAATATGTGTATCTTAAATTAAATGCATTTTGAAAATTTGCATATTTTATAACAATATCTAATCGAATTTATTCTATAAAAGTGAAAAAATTCATAAGAGATTTATTTTTGAGAGTACAAATAAAATCATAAGCATTAAATTTGTACAGTATTTCTGATCAGAATGAAACAATTTTACATATGTTAAAAGTTACCTTTTGAAAACATCGATTACGATCGATTATATTTTTAAGCGCATTGCATCCTTTAGTAAAGTCATTGAACCTTTATCTGATCAAATCTCCAAGCAAATAAAGAAAGTTCCACGGACGAGTTTTATCGATGGCACACTTTTACGGCACAAACCCGGTATGTTAAGTACCCTCGAGATTAACCTCGTTCTGATCCTAGAAAACGATCAATGGAATGACACTCGACCTTACTGTTCCCCAAGTAGTAAGGATCGACGCTTGTGACGACATATCTTTTTCCCTTATTACGGATGTGATACGTTAAAAAAATTATTCAAAAGTACAAAAATATATTAAAATACATTGAAATATCACAAATTAATTATTTTGATAAAAATATTATATAGAAATATCAAAATATTTGTGATTATAGATATTTAAAATAAACCACTTTTCTTGCGTTTTCTTGTTTCTTCCTCATTTAATAAATACAAGATAGCGCCATGAAGTATGCAAATTTAATATGCAAATATACATAATTTAAGACATCGAGAACAGGCAAACTTTATGGTTTGCTCTTTGAGTTTTCTCTTCTTTATGTTTAACTTTAAAATTTACTATTCATCAGTACGTAAAAGCTTTCATCTGTTCTTGTATGTATATATGTCGAGAACAAACAAATTTTTATCCCTAAAACAATTAAATGTTTTAAATGTCACTTAAATTATACACTAAAATTACTGGGTGATATATATTATATCACAAAAAGAAATTTACAATGGATTGTGACTATGTGAAAATCACAGTAACAGTGATGATATTTAAAGAAACATTAAAAGTGCATAAATACTGGAACCGTGGATATGAACGTCTTCCTGAATTTTACGAGACGCATAGAAGTTACGAGATTCATTCTCGAGTTGAGAATCCCTGAAAATATTATCGAAGATATTATCGACGTAAATGGTGTACGGGCTGATATTCGCCGCGCATTGTGAACATCAGAAACAAAGGACTAAAGACCAAGTTGCTACGAACTTTGAACTAAATACGGGCTGTATACGGCTGAATATTGCACCAAATATGAGTAAAGCTGATATAACACGGGCCAGTATCTACGAAGTGATATAGTATGATAAGAGCGAATGTGAAATCGAAATCGAGAAGCAACAGCCTCTATCGATCCGAAGTAAAAAGAGGCAGAGCCGAGGTCTGCCAGAATTCGACGAGCGGCCAGACGTTCGATAGGCGGAAAATTACGGAATGAATGGAAGACACGACTCAGCGATTCGTCGGACGTCTTTCTTTTACCCTCTGATTTTTATACGTCATTCTTTCTGACTCATTTTAGCGATTATGCAAATAACAATTCTATTATTCCATTCTCCATCGTGCGATCACGTTAAACGGTCCATGAAGAGAAAAACAAATGAAGATATAATATCATCAACATATTGATTATTTAGGACAAAAAATGCATTCTGTTCTTGTAAATTATCGATAACATAATACAGCAGCAACGTATTCGCGATAAATTAGTTACAAATCTAAATCTTTAATTAACAAATCCTTAAATATTTTATACATATATAATAATTGAGACTTAAAAGAATGATGGAACTTTATAATAAACGCGAAGATAAAAATCGTGTAGAATAGTAGAAAAATGTCTATAAATAAAAATTATTATCTAATAGATTACAACGATATTAAGATAAAATGTAAGAGAGTGGCCGAAACTGAACGAATTGCACATGTTCTGAAACAAAAGGAGAATTATAAGAATGGCGGGAGATATATCGAAAGGTAAGCCAAAAAGTTCGATGTGGGTAGCGCTAGAAAACCGCATTCTTTGAAGTCAGTAAGTCTGTCGGTGGTAGGTATAGGACGGTTCACAATTATCTTGCATTTCTTCTTACTTTTGCATACATATAAGTAAATAATTTTTTCTCTTGACCTTTTTTTTGCTCTTTTAAACGAAAAGATCTTAATCGCGATTGATTTTTTCATCTGGATTAAAATTGTGCCAACTTTTTCTTCGTTATTCGAAAATCAGAGGTACGGATATTTTTGAATCGCTCTGTACTTGTCTTCACTACACGTAAATTTCGTCCTGGCTATGCAATTCATTGCTACGGCCGCGGGAATAGAAGGATACGTGGTAGGCGAATGAGAAGCCGCGATGGCACTTTGCATTCTGATGCGCTTTTAAATCTCCTCCCAAATTCATTTTGGCGGTTACGCCAAAATAAACCGATGCGCGTTCGAGCTTCGACAAACGGTAGTGTGAAACCATAGGCATTTTATGGATCCCAGGCAAGGGTCCTAATATCGCTCGTGAACTTTGCAGTTACTACGGCGCAAAAGTTAAGTACCTTTAAAGCGCCCAATCGCTTCTGTTGCTGATGTTCGTGGAAGGTGATGCAAAATTACGGGATTATATTAACCTGCGGCAATCGACAGGCCGGAATTTCAGAAGTAATTTAATTAATTAAGAGCTTGCCGACGCACTCAAACAAGTTAGTTTCGACGAGCTTTATTTTTATAAATAAGTATAAATTATATCACATGAAATATATTCAACCCGCAGTTCTCAATGACTTTTAGCATATTCTCTTTCAGTTTTTATTTTTTACTTTAATAAAAATTTAAAAGAGAGCTAGGAGAGAAATATGCTTGGGATATACATATAGATGCCGTGGTTTTTAGTTATAAAGAAGAATAAAGGAGATATACAATATTCCAGTTATAAAAGCAGCGCGGGTGTGTACGCTTATTTGATTTTCACACTCTTTCGTTATGCTAACAAAACAGAAATGATCGCTATTATTTTTATTTCATCGCTGAGTTGCGTGAGATATCCTTGATTCCAAAGAGACTAAGAGATTACTTTTTGAAATGAAATTCCTACTGTCTATTCTGTTAAGCTTCCAATCTTTTTTAATATTCATTGCAATTGCTCGCGCGCACACGTGTATATGTGTGTGTGTATGTGTGTGTTTTAAAACTATGTACTATATAATACGTAAAAAATTGAGAAAGATATTTTATGAACATAATGTCGTAATATTGATATTTTAACTGTGCCGATATTAAACATCTAAAAGCAGTGTATAACAAGAAATATCTTTAGCTTTTAAACTCACATGATTACGAACGATAAACGATATCGGATTGTCATATCTTATGAATAAAGTGATTGTAACATGTAACGAGAAAAACTTTCATTCTTCAGATTCATGAATATCGTCAAAGATTCTCATATTATATTCATGAACGAAATGATCGTATCAATAGCCGATTTGCGATGGATTCTATTTTCTTATAAATTCAAACGAATTGAAACAAATTTCGCTAATAAGTACCTGTCATTTTTATTGAGCAACGGTTATTTTAACCTGAAACGACAATTGTCTATAATCAATCAATTCGATCGTTCACTTTATATTGTGTTTAACAAGAACAAATTTGCTGTCGATAGATCGAATAAATCGAGAGAATTGTCGGGAGAATGAATCTCTGCAGACAGAAGAAATGTTTGAAACGTTTGACATCGATTGGTAGGAAATTCCGTTTGAAACACTCACAAAAGAATCGTGTTCATTTCTACTGCAGTAGAAATTCGAAAATGATGATCATAAAGGAAATTGTTTACGTATTCAGACTCAATTAATTGAAATTAAACGTATTCTTTATCCAAAAGAATCACATGTTTAACAGAAACGAATATATCATATCTTTTTAAACATTCATAACTTATTTTAAAAGAAAAATAGGAAAAGATAAATCGCTGATGTGCACAGTGTATCGATCTCTGAAAATAAGTGAAATTGAAATATTTAATATTAAAGACAAAAGATAGATGTTTGAAAACGTAATTTATCATAAAGCGTACCTAAATTAGAAGCAATACAACTTGTAACAATGTTATTATAATATCGATAAACGAGTAAATGCGTAAGAGTCCATCAGTAGTTAATAATTTAATAGTTAATGAGTGAATATAGATAGCAAAATAGCTTACCCTTTTAGAAGAGTGCTTGTGATAGCGATGAGGGTGCAGCATGCAAACATAACGGTCGATTGCCATGCAGACGAGGATAACAGCGCTCTGTTGAGTCAAAGCACCCCTAAGAAGTGCCTGGAACAGTAAAAGTTTCCGAAAGAGCAAACGAGATTCTTCAAGTGTCGCGCACTCTTTCCCTCTCTCTTTCTCAGTTATTTTCAAATAAAATAAGTTATAACTTCTTGGAAAAGTGCATAGGTCGACAAGTAGCGAAACAAGTCGGATAAGGGAGAAGTTTTGATGAGCTGAGAGAGAACACCGAGAGAAAATCAACTGTACTTGTAAGCAGCTCTTACTATCGCGCGTTACATTCCTTTCAGTTTTCTATCGTCACTTAAATATTTCTTGATTTGTCAAAAGAGAGAAAACGAGATTGCACAAGTATATCTATCAATAATTTATTAATAATAATTTAATGATACGAATATATTATACGTGTACAATGGAAATAGTGATTCACAGATTAATAATTTTGCGTTTGATTGAAATGTCAATTGATTATCCTAGAGATGTGTGTATCTTCCTGTGTGAATATAGCAAAATAATCAGGGTTTTACCGTTGACGAGCGGCAGCTTGCGGTTTACCGCTGATGCCACAACGCTTCGCGGTAATTTTGTCATCGAACATCGGAATTCGCGCGAGAATCGTTGTTGCTCTAATTTGAAGGTATAGGCAGAAACAGGCTCATCTAATTAATTGCCATAGGTCAACAGTGGAGATTGGCTTAATTAACATTACAGCGTCATTGATTATTTACGCTGATGTCTCATGTAGACGGCGTTACAATTATGTCGCACACATTTTACTGTACAAGGAATCGTTAGTAAGCTGTATAAACCTGGTGCCGAGTCCGTACTATAATTAAATGTCACGCTCGAATAAAAAAGGACCGCATTCATCACCGCGCAATGTTGCTTCCACGCCGTTGCACTTATCTGCCTGTGAATTTCTCTCCGCGATTAAATAGTGTGACGTAGTTTTTGTAAATTCCGCGCGTGTAGACACTACGTTAAAATTGAATTTACGCATGTTAATTACAATGAAATTGTATAACATGGTTTCGTAAATTCTAGAAATTAATAACAAAGGTTACATAATCAACATTATATAAAACACAGTCGGTTGGCTCAATTGTTCTAATAGAGTAATTAAGATAAAGGGATCAAATAACATAATCCGCGTGGGATTCCCATTTACATTAGATACAAGTATAAATCGTCTTTTCTTTTAATAAATTGAAAACTAATAGGTAGTCTATATTTCGAAAGAAAATATTTCTATCGAAGATTGCAAGCACATGTGAGAAAATATCGTTATTTACTAACTAACGTTTATTTCTTAATATTGCACAAGTATCGCTCGATGTCTTATATTTAGATAGTAATGTATCGATTACGAGCATGTAACGGGTCAATTTCTCGTAATTTGGTCTACGAATGGACTGTCGGCAAACGTTAATTTGTTCTCCAAACCTACATACATTACACGAAACAAGCTGTCAGACGGCGAGCAAATTGCCAGTAGGATCACCGCCAGCCCTTTCATCCAATTGAAACCAACTCTCTCTACGACTGCGGCGAAGAGAAACGCAATCGCAACTGCAAATTAACGTGCATAAAACTATTTCGGAAATTTTGAATCTTGTGTGTTTTCCTATTACTATTTTTTAAATAAATATTTCATTAATCTTCAACCTTTTTTAAAATGCAGTGAAACACAAAGAAACATATTGATTTAACTCTCTAACAAAAGTATTTTCAAACATATATATACAATATATTATTGCTTCAGAAGCTTGCAAAACAACAAGTTGGCATTATATTGCGATACAATCCGGAAAATATTTTTATTTAAAACATGTCAAGTTAGATTCTGTTGACCATTTAGATACAAAAATATTTCTTAGTTATATATTGAAATAAAATAAATTCCAAGGAAGTAAAAATCTACGTGTGTAAGAATTTATCTCTTAAAGAAGTTATTTATACATAAATTTCTAAACATAAATGTCTACAAAATTGGACATTTTATAATTCTCTTTTGGTTCTGCTAAAGTTGATAAGAATAAAGAAAAAAAGTAAACGCGTTCTCTGAAGCAAATGCCGTGTAACGCGTATCCGTCTGTAGCGGATGCGTTGAACCGCATATTGAACAATCTTGTGGCTATCTACTGACATCAGCCGTCGTTTGAGTCCGATACGTTGGACTACTTCGAAGCGGGGCAGTTGGGACGTAACGAGATGTACACTATCGCGATTCGGGACTCGCTCTATCCGGCAGGTGCCGGGCGAGACAGGCGAGACAGAGGCATGGCACGATTCGATCTCTGGGAAAGGAAAACGATCCCAAGCACCGTGAGCCGCCGAAGGCGACAGCTTGATTCGATGAATCAGTGACGTCGATGCGGTCATAAAGAAACGACAGGACGAGGGTGCGAGTGTACCAAGTATACGTTTAAGATGGTTACCATGGTGACCGTTGGCGTATGGCCAGGAAAAAGCACTGATAATCTAAAGGGGCCAGGATCGGCCTGGCCTCGTTTCGAGCCATCTCTGAAACACTCTCTCGGAAGACCTTAACCGAATATTTTCGCCGCAAGCTAACTTATCCCCGAGCAACCGCTAACCCTTTGCCGTCACCGCCGTCGGATCGCGGCCGAGACTTTAATGGAACATCGCGGCTAACTTTTATTTAGCCACGATCGGAATAATTGGTATAACGAGTTTGATCCCTTGGTTCGTCGCGCCGAGAAATACCGTCGAGAAATAAACGGCAAGTGCTCTGCGTCGCCGCGAGTTTCACGAAATTGCATTTACTCTGGAACGACCTTGGGCCGATTGCAGTAGCGCGTTAGCACGCGCATCCTTTTAGCGGAGAACGCTCGCTTTTTGTCGAAACTCGGTGGAGCTTGGGCGAGCGCGAACGTTCAATTGTGAACATTTCACACCAGCGTAAACAATGGGAAAATAAAGTTAACAATCAGGCAGAGTTGACTTTTACGCGACAATGGTAGTTTCCTGGTGCCAATGGTAACGATTTATTCCATTTTCATGGGGTCTCTGTGCACGTACGCTATTGAGAATCTGAAGCACGTCACTGTCATGTCACGTGCACAAGACGTGCCGCATCTCTCTTAACGCGATATAATTCCACACTCGTCGCCAATAAATGAAAGGGGCATCGGCACAGTAATGTATGGTCGGGGGCATATACTTGGAATTTTGTGGAATATTAAATTTGCAATCGCATTACTGCCGCGGCGGCGCAAAAATTTTCAGGTCGGTTTACACCGCGAAAAAGAGAAGGAAGAAAATGGTGTCGCGAAGCGACGAACAGCGTTAGCGCTTCGGCGACATCGTAGCTCGTTCTGATAAGTAATGACATTATGCAGCTAAGTACGGGCAGGAGAGTTGGGAAATTTACCAATAGATGATTTGGAGTTCGTTTTACATCAGTTATAATTAGCGAACGAACTTGCAATAGAATTCCACCGTTCATTCTTTCCACCTTTCAGAGATAATACTGTGATTGGGAAAAATTAGAAAATTCATTAGAAAAATACAAGTTTTCAAATTAATAATAACGTTATTAAAAATATAAAATAATTGTTTCTTACACGCTGAAAAATCTTTTCAAGTCTCAAGAGATCGTTTACAATTGCATTAAAAACTTGTTATTCATAAAAAATCACTACTACTCTAAGGAGTTTAATAGTGTTGTAATGCACTAAATGCATTACAAGCAGCGCGGTCATCATAACATGGTAACAACGGTAATTGTCTACAGTGATTCCTGGCACATCACTGAGCAAGAACAAGCAGTACTAGTTTATCGAAGTTTATAGTTTGGTTTCTAGCAGATATCTGAATACACAAATCCATCGCGGCCTGGGGTTATCGCGTATACCCGAGAGGTTTGTTGCCACTAAGAATAGATTCTATGAATATCGAGTGGCTAGAAATGATTTACCATTGCGAAATACCTAGAACGCGCGGTCTCCGTGTTATTCTCACCCTCTTTCCCGAAGGAGCAATTGTCAACGCGTAATCGACCCGTTCTCAATTATATTTCTTTACGGGCGATACTCGATACTTGTAGCGTCAATGGCCAATACCGAATATATCGAAGTTTTAAGTTTTCAAAAATTTAAAAGTCACAGTGCTAAAATTTCAAAGATAGACTTAATAAAGAAGCTCGAAACAGTTGTTCATCCCTTATAGCGAAATCGACCCTCACAAAGCGTTATACGTTTTTGAATAAATCATGACACAAAATATCGCGCATTGTCTTTTTGTATTTCTCGCTGTCTGTTAGAAATATCGATAGGAACAATGTGGTAAACGCATTCAAATAAAGGCAGCATTTTGTTTAATAACTCGGATATCACCGCTCGTTATTGTCACGGGTAGGAACAAATGTTCTTGCGACCGACGTTTAAAATGGACGGAATGTAATTGATCGCCCGTTAACGCGGTGGAATATTAAACACTATTAATTCTCGTGGATCGTTCTATATAAGCTTTTAGCTGGTCGCGAGTTCGATTCAATTGTGCATAATTGTCGTCGTTTGTGCCAGCACGATGAAAAGAATACGGAACCGAAATTGCAAACCCGCCACTTTTTATTCGCTGATCACTTAAAGTTTTACATGTTCGTTTGAAACTTTACTTGTTGTACTTGAAACTTTGCACGTTCTTTTTCTCGCTTGCTAGCAAATCGGGTGCACTATCAACACTATCGTTACGCCCTCGAGGTTAATAGATTCGTACGAGCTTCTCTTTGTGTTAAAGGGATACTATCGAGTCGAGTGCTACTACTTTCTCTCGTCTATCAGAAGAAGTTAATAATTAATTAAATTGCGCGATTGTATAATACATTCGTGTTTACAATGATGTAAAATTTTGTTAGGAAGAATGTAAGAAAAAACTTTAATGAAATTTCGAAAGATTTAAAAAATGTACATATAAAATATGAAAGAAAGTAGCGTGCACAATTTGAAATATAACAGTGTGTGTGGAATGTTGTATCATATGCGAAAGATGTAACAAGAGTATGAAACAAGAATTCTACTTCAGATGTTAACCTTCCATCGTTCCCATATCCATTTGAGAGATATATGGATAAAGGGACTGGATATAAGAAATACACGCGATATATGTGTCTTCAAGACGAAAGTATTCGTACATAGGAATATTATCCTTATGGTTTTATGAAATTCCTGCAGGTGTCGAGATTCCTGCTTTTCTATTTCGAGAGTCGATGGTTCTCGTAAAGTTTTATAGGATCGTCCGCAGCATCGAGTATTATCTGAATTTCTACACGGCTGTTACACGTTTCAATCGTACATATATTGCACAGTCTTTCGAAATATCCACTATCAAAGTCGTAATATTTTATCTGCACGTAAAAAGAATTGAAACTCGCAAAAACGCATTGAGATAATTATCATATATTTCTTTTTTTGCTTCGTATCAATGCACCGTTCGAGGTATAGAATTTGATTCGTAGAAATGTATCTACGAAGATAATGAGAAGTTATTTTATATCCCAATTCTTTTGGTCTTTGAATTTTTTAATTATGCAATATGTTTTCCTAATTATTAGATATCTGAGTTTCGCATCTGTTTATTAATTCTCTGCCACCTACTTTCTCTCTGCTTACTAATTGTACCACGTCTCCACCAAATTTGCAATCTATTTCCAGCTACACAGGAACTTGCGCTCTCCGCGTTTATTAATTCTCTTTGCTTATAAAGTCTCTACTTTCCACCGCATTATTTTGTATTCTTTTCTTCACTTACCGTCCTATCGCTTATCTCATTCTTTCTATGACACTCTTTTTATGATAGGATCTCGAGAAGTGTTTTAAAAAGAACACTAGTTATTAATGTACAAGTAAATGAATTAATCATTTCTACTATTTTTTAAGAGTACTCTTTATATTTCGTGAACTCTGACTGAAAATATCAATCTTAATTTGCTATATTTGCTTTGATATGATCGTTATATATGTATATTACCGTGCAGCACACATATAATACAGTCCATGCAATTTTGAAGAATCATTGCTGAGTGTTTTACAAAAAAGAATGTAAATCTTTTAAATCAGAATAGTGAATAATTTAATTTTATCATGCAAATAGTATATAATTATTTTATTGTATTTATAACTTTTGTTTTATTTCTTCCATTTTCTAATTTTCTCTCAACATTGATTCGATATCCGCTGTTCAACGTTTTGATTGCAATTTATATAAAGATGATTCCCTTTTTATTTAATAATTTAAATTAATGACCATATCTTACTGCACATATGCACTAAATTGACATATGTCTAAACTCGATATTTCACGAAAGTGACGTAGCGTAAGAACATTGATGGTAACGGACAGTGTTTTGATACAATATTATGCAAGTTTCAAGGAATGCAGAGCTGAAACATCGGAAGACATCAACATCTCAGATATCAGAAAGGTATTTCGATATAACGCGACATCTATCTCTATGTAGTTCGAGTCTTATCGAGGAAATGCGACAAAGATGATTTGTTGTTATAGGTATGGCTGTAACTTATGATATTCAGATAAAAATGACACTGCTCCATTTTCTATTTCCACATTATACATATAGACGATGTTATATATTAATATTTCAACCAATATTATTACAAATCTATTGTTCTTTTATTATCTATTGATCAATTTTATCGACAGAAATAACAAATAAATAAAAAAATTAATAAATAAAAGTTTATTTAATTGAACATCATATTCAATTAATATCAATATGGTTTCGAGAAAATATTAATGTTAAAAAAGTCATAACAGATAGAATAGAGATACATCGTACCTCTGCTTAACGAGGAGATCTCTGCCATGGCTTCCTTGTTAAATTTTATTGTATTATTCGCAGTTACTAAAATTAATTATCTCGCTATTTTACTGCGCAAGCATACGGGAATATGTTGTCAATATATCGTCAAGTTAATTAACAGTTGTTATTATATTAGCCTATCAGTGAGCGAAGCAACACAAACATATTACACATCTATTTGTATTATTTTATTGAAAGAAAAATTAATTTCCAACATTAAATTGTGACACGCGCGACAAATATGTATTATAAGTTGAGCAGAAAGTTGTGTGTAGCTTGTATATAACTTGCGTTTACTAATTTCGTGCAAGGTATTACTGCAATTTCCCGTTACGGTTAGATAAGCAAATACCACGAAATTCGAGATCTGTCGACGAAACGGCGCATTCCCGAGTTTAGTACGTGCGAAATGAAGAAATATATGGTCACAAATCAGATCGTTACCTCAGAAGATGGCGCAGAGGACGAGGAAGGGATCGGAGGGAAAGGAGCGATGCGTAAAGATTATCGCCAGGAACTCCGATAACGTCGCAGCAGCCGACTGGTGGAGGAAATGGCGGAAGAAGTACCGGCTGCCGGAAGCGCAGCCACGAGTTTCAAACGATAATAATTTCCTGCCAAGCATCGCGCGAACCATTCCAAGATTTCCTACAAATTCCACGATTTCTGGCTAAGAAAAGCTGTCGAGGTTATTGAACGGCTCTTTAACGCGCAACGCGTTATAAGTAACATCGTAATCTCCAACGTTATATTCAAGTTAACTTCATCATGAGGCAATATAAAAATATATTGCCGATATAAAATGTAAGTACTATAAAATTATTAGCTATCTGTTCATGTGGCATTAATTAAAGTAGTATAACGAACGTCGATTGTTTCTCAAAAACGGTATACTAACACGATCTGCATAACAAATATAAATGTCGAAGGCTAAACAAAGAAGGAGTATATAAAAAGAAGTACTGATAAACTGTGCAAAAGTTACCTGAATTTGACAGACCACTTCGCCATACGGCCAGCATCCGTAAACAGCTGGTAAGAAACCGAAAGGCGTCACTAAAAGACCAATCGCTAGATCGTTGCTCGCTAAGCTCGTCAGCAAATATCTGGGCTGGAAGAAAATTGAGGAGAACCTGTTGAACGTCTTTGGTCAGTGTCAATGGGCGTCGTTACCGAAACGGTTGAATTGTTGTGTAATGTGCGCGACGTTAGTTCTGTCATGAGGCGTGTAGGGAGGGAAAATATCGATTGAGACTTAACGAGAACTTCCTTTGGCCAATTATGTACCATTTCTATGAGCATCAATTAAAATCCGTTGATTTAACTGATTTATTTAACTACAAATTAAATTTATTCTTAATTGATGCTAGTGGAAGTGTATGTACGCAATAATAAACAAATTTAACTTTTTCGATCCAGTAAAAAAATATATGCTTCCAATTGTTGAAGTTTTTAATGTAGTTTCAACTTTCAGTCTTTGAAATATTACTTCCTACTGCCGCTAATAATCGTATGGAAATTCGAAGTTACTTTCGTATACATATTTAGTAGGCTATGTAACTTTTACATATACATAAATTAGATCTGAGAGCGCGAAGTCGCTAGGTGGAAGAAGAAAAACTGAGAAGGAGCCGTAGAGAGCATACAGAAAAGTTAAACATCATTAGTGGCAATACATCTACGGCGTAGGAGATTATATATTTCTTGTTAACAAAGGGAGATAAAATGCTTAAGACAATCGTTTCTCGAAAAGCGTTTAAACTAGGTGTCACAGCACTGGAACAAGGATATACAGGGTGTACTAAAACCACCGGATATCCTTTTAATTATAAATTCTTTAGAAACTTTCAAAACAAAAATTCTAATACAAAAATGTCGAGGCTATAATTACATTTCATAAATGACAGGCCTGAGATTTCGCGCGCTCAGGTACGGCGACACGACGAGTGATAAAGGTGTTCCTACGAATATCGCCCTTTTTAGCATAGTGACAACTTTCACAACAGACTTAACGATTCATTCTCGAATTAATTGTTCCTTTTGTTATCTTTAACCACTTCTTTTGTTAACTTTGTGTAACGTCTTATTACTAATAGGGAGGGGTTCACTATGATGAGCATCTTGATCAGCATCCTGATATCCTTCGATTTAGTCGATCTCCGATATTCTGAGTGAACTTGGAATTTTCAGTTAGATTCAATCTAGTCTCCTGCCTCTCTTTATCCTCAAATTTTCAAAATAACCGGATCATCGTCTTCTCAAATATTTTCTGTCCCGTTAAACGGTGACTTTGATTCTCGCTCGCTCGCGAAACACATAGGAACACTTTTATCACTCGTCATGTCGCCGTGCCGGAGCGCGCGAAATCTCAGACCTATCATTTGTGAAATATAATCGCTTGTTATTTAAAAACTATCATAGCCTTGACATTTTTTTATTAGAATTTTCCTCTTGAAATTTTTTAAGGAATCTGCGATTAAAAGGATATCCGGTGGTTTTAGTACACCCTGTATTTCATGTGCATGCAATACGGTTATAGAAATACGAATTTGTATTTATTTAACTCTCTAGAAAGATTTACATATGCGACGAAAATGAATAAATGCTAATAATGTATTATTCATATACTGCGCTTCAACTAAGATGTCCTCAGTTTTACGTATTACGTTGTCGGGAAACTTTAATCAATCCAATAAATAGAGGATGAAACATCCACTCACTAATGTACAATTTTTTGCGGAGATCATCAGTCTCTACGAAACTCGACGGTACTCATTTAGAATCCAGAAACATGACTGTCCCGTATTCCGCGTAGCTAACCACTTCAGAGACTGATTTACATAGGAAGAAGAGGAAAATGGAGAAAATACCTGCCATCACAGACTGTGAGTTATGGCACCGACTAAAACCTTCGTACACTCGCGTAACTGATATTTTACCTCAATCCTTTTATAAGATACAAAACAAACGTAATATTAATCTCGCTTTATACATATATATGTATATGTGTCTCGACTTTTCCTTGATTTTATTTGAGATTTTTACAAATTTTGCAGTTATTATTATTTCATCATAAAAATAAAAGTATTAATTTAAAAAATTTAAATGTAACAAAATATAAATTTGGTCAAGGAAGGCCTGAACTGTTTATTATATTTCTAAAAAGCTATATAAATCAAACTGCAAGTACTGTATTAATAGATGTACCATCTTACCTGAGCATGTATATATTTGCTGTACTGCCTGCTATTGATAACACATATCACTAACAGATTTGCGCACAGGATACCAAGGCTGAGCAGCAGTATCAGGGTAGCTCGTACCAGCTCCCCAGGGCCTGGGCCTGTCCAAGCGGCGTCGGACGTGCCGCCTCGCCAACAACTGCTGTTGCTCAGTGAGGGTGCCAGCAGTATCGTCTGTTTGTGTTCCATCATCATCAGTTGTTCGCTCACTTCCCCACGCGATTACGGTGCCGAAACCCCAGACGAGACATCCGTGTCTCGCTCGAGGCACTTCGTACGTTTCTGAAAATAATCTTTTTTTAAATGAAATCTTATTATACTTCTTTTTTATCATATTAGTTATGTACGGAGGAATTTGAAGAGGAATCTTATGATGCTTATTTCATTAAAAATAATTCTTTAATGTAATTTCGTTATATTGACTTGTTTTATGCATGAATAACTAACAAGATACGATGCCTTGTGGCAATATCGCAGTAATAACAATAGAGATCATAATAAGATTGGGTCAACAATATCTCTTAAAAATCGTATGTTTTTTTATTAATAAAAATATTGCAAACGGTTGTTTTAAGAGCAACTGTTTTTTCTGTCAATGAAAATGTAACAACACGAGTTTTAAGGAAAGGAAAGGAAGGCAGAGCAATATCGCAACGTACCTTTCATCCCTGACGATCGCGAATTTTCAAGGGTCCGCCTTGATGATGGCCGACCAGCTTTTTTAAGCACTGCTTCTTCATCATCAAGATCGTTGAGAATCCACGCGATTGCGAACGTTTGAGCGCGTCTAATGACGCACTCGAATGTCCGCTCGCGACTCACGAGTACGCATTTGCAAAACGATGTGTGGCTTCAACATGTGATAGGTTCTTGATACGCGATGCATCTCAGCTTGCATTCACAGCGTTTGCGGACACGCGGGTAAGAAGCCAAGCTCTGAGAAAAGAGAAAATAAAGCGGATAAGAATAACATAATATCAGTTTTCTCTGCATTTACGCTTTTGTATGCGCAAAAATTTACAGAGTCAGGACTATCTTACTGCTTGTCTACCGAATAACATTTGTGACAAGACGAAACTGATTATTATTTTACATGTACTAACTAGAATATTTTTGATATTTCGAAAATATTGTTGCATGTGTGTGGAAGAAACTTGTGGATGTAGAAAAGAATATTTTTACAGGTCAAGGTTACGAAGAATTTATGATAAAAAAATATATAACACGTATACTACCTAAAAAAATATAGATATATACTAAATACTAAAACATTATGTAATACATATGAGACTAGTAGATTTTGTTTTATTTGACATCTAATACGTTAAACTGTAATTAATCTCTAAATTCCACTACGGCTGCCGAGTACTCATCGGCATTCCCATTTTACACTGTTACGCGAGAGCTCTCTACGGAATCACAGACTGTATTTGAAACTCGTACGTTTCGAGTTTGCGACGTTTTATTTGCTCTTGCCCGCAATATTTCCAACAATCAAGCGTACGGGCGCATCCCGCTACGTTTCCGGGAATTTTATTTGTACCACGTAAACGAACGAAGCCGTTGGTCCGCGAACTCGACGTTGATCGATCGCGCGCGTCAATTCCGTTCGCGTTGACGGCGAATCGATGATGCGTTACAGTACGCCGGAGCCGAATAGATCTCTGCGAATTCATACGGATCATGCTCTTCCGTAATAAGCTCGGCTCTTCGGACTGTGAATAATTAATTGTAAACCTTTTATGCGCCAGACGGAGGAGGGCCACTTTCCATTTTTTATATACCCGCGTCGTAATTAAAACTTAAAAGAATCTGTTTGCATCCCGTGCGCGTGAAATGGCGAAAATGGAAAAATTAATTGGATATCTGCGCGAATATCGGACGTTTCTTTTCACTGCAAATTTCGTTTAGAACCGAAGCCAGTACCAGTTAACATCACCCGTCTGATTTTCAGGTGATAATTAATGTATTGACCCCATGCGCGAATGCACGAGCAAATATTGGAAATTAATGTGCTATTAAGCCGCTTATCGAGATAAGCTAGAAGCCTAGACAGACTTTATTCCGCATGCCTGATAGTTGTAATTAAACAGATTATTTGCTTATTTTTATTTGTTATTCACTGTCATAATTAATTATATAAAAGATTTATCGCAATATATTAGTTTTACACCATTGTATTGTTTTATTAGAAACTATTTTTTTAAATACGGAGCAATATATTATTACATTTTATTAGGATATTAGAAACGAAAAAACTTACAATTAGAAAACGATGTGATATTCGGTAATTTTCGTTTTTCTGCTGTGTATTATATCAAAAGTCATATTGTCGTGATTTCTGAGAGGTTACAGTTATACAATTTAGTCACAAAATGGTTTCTGCTTTGCAACAAAATTATACAATTACAAGATGATTATTATTTGCATACTACTCACAAATATAATTTCTATTAAACCGCACATTTTTCAGCAAAATAAAGAGTTCGAATTCGAAAGGGCCGGAACAGAAAAATTGAAGAAATGGAAAACTATAATTTATATTATTATTTGCAGAAATAGTAATAATAATTCTCTTAGAATAATTTACTTTTGAAACTAAAGTAATGTGGAAAAATGTGATTACAATTCTATTTATAAATGTTACTATTTCCTTCTAACTTAATTATAATCATAATTTCTAAACGTCATTATGTGCTAATAATTGCATCCCTTACAGTAGCAACAGTAAGCATTAAATCTAAAAATTGTGTGACGTACGACAAAAGTATTGCAGGGATTATCGTAACATATTTATATAATACATTTATTCTCCGAGCTGTAGATATATGTGGCTGGCGAAGACGCTTTTCAAAACAAAAGATCGAAAAGTGTAGTGGAATTCACCAACTGTTCGTGCCCGGTATTATTTACTGCATCCTGAATTGGATGCAATGCATTTTGGCGTTCATTATCTGTTTACGAGCTTTATTATAAATCATACCGACTATTAACGGCATATTAATTGTCGAAAAATTACGTAACCCGTTCGATTGTAAGATCAAATTGCCCATTAATGCGGCGAATCGTGCGCAATCAATAGCAAGACTTTAAAAACGAGAAAGTAGCTAACTAGCGCAAGATCACCTTCGGCGATATTATAGATTTTGATATAATTAAAAAGCATAGGCCCCCCTGCCCGGGGAGGGGACAGCACATCCCGGGCTCAATGCTGGAAATTCCTTTCTTTCATCCACACCTTTGCGAGGATTCCTCCCGTTCTTTCAGTAACGATTCGACAGACACTGTCTCGACGTTTGAGCCCGCTCTATTCATATACGTATTCGTATACGTATTCGTGCCTATTATTCGCCCCGCTGCCCTTTAGGCTTCACTCATAATGCTATTCGTTTTGAATATATTATAGCAAAGATGCGGCTGACATATGTGGTTTTTATGTCGCTAATAATTCCATTCTGTGCAATTCGATGCAAATAAACTGCACCAATATATTCATTTATAAAAATTTCTATAGAGTATTGCGTTTAATTTCACTTTGACAAAAGTGATAAACAAAATAATAATTGATTTCTACAATGCAGTTTTATTATTAGAAAAATCAGCCATCGTTTTCATAAATGGTTACGTTGAATATCAGAACTGCTCATATTCTGCCTTTTTCGCTGTATCTGTTAATTTATTGTTAGCACGCAACCTTTTTGCATTCAACGGACCACCATTCATTCAGAACAAATGGCAACTAACTTGTTTATCGAGAAAACTGAGCTTGCCTGGTTGTTGCACTCGAGCCTTCAATTTAATTTACTTGGTGTGCAATCGATAAATAATGTTGACTTGCCAGCTTTCTCGTTTTCACGCTTGAATAGAAAGGCGAATGGAATGGAAACGGTCTCACATACCGTGTATACGTACATATCCACGTATATAGACCAACACAACACACATGCTTTTGCATTCTCTATGAGCAAGTTTCGCACGATCGATACGTCATATACTTTACGCACACGTGCTCGCTATCGGCGAATAAAGGCTAGCAGCTTCGTTTCCTGCAATTACGCGAGCAAACATCGCATCGTTGCTTCATTAAAATAACACGCCGGATAAAATCCAAATTTCTTTCCGAATGGCAACTAATCGGACATCTATATTAATCAAATATTTGACTAATATAGAAGAGAACGTTGCTTTAGCTGAAGCTTACTTGATTTTTCCGATATGTCACACGCTCAAACGTTCGTGTATTTTTTAATCTTAATGTCACAGCAATTTACGTTGATAATTGCGAACGGTCTCGTTAAATTGACGAAGCTACGTGTAATGATGCAAATTTTAATCGAACGGGTTTATCTACAGTACTGTTTACGGCAATCGTAAATTTCGGAAATGCACAGAGTAAGCAAGGATAACGCTTAAATCACGAAATCTTTCATTATACCGATAATTTGTAGCTGGTATACAACACAAAAATATTTGACACTTATACTTGTGTCACGTATGACCCCTTGCTTTTCTATTCGACTTTAACCCTTTGAAGCATGGTGCAGGTAATTCACGTTACCACCTCAACTTGTTTACTTTTTGGCTATTTAATTTCTAGTTTACGCATTTAGGTCGGGTTTTTTTGCATTTTTTGGGTATCTTAGCAATAAAAAACGTTAAAAAAGTTGAGTAGTCTGTAATATTTATTGTAAAAATTTTATAAATCAACAAATATGAAAAAACAGCAATTTTTCGGAAAAATTCATTATTGACCAAGTTTTTTTAAGATTATTTTTTGAAAACTTTGTATAAAGAGGTTTTTGGGGTCGCTCATTATGAATCTGATGTCAGATTTTTAAATTCAAAATGCAAAGTTTTCAAGTTTTTCAGCATTTTCGTTTCATTATGATATTTAGGGACTTATCACGTCCGCGTCGTTAGCTCTGGGTAGTGCCAAGAATGAGTAAATTCTAAGAAATGATAAATTTTCAATTTTGTATCCGCTATTTCGCGCGCGCTATTTTTATATTCTATAAGAATTTTCAACTGGAATTTAGATTTCATGGATCCTAATAATATCCAAATAATGTTTCTTAGCATAGTTGAATTACAGTTGAATAATATTATTCTTTTAATTTTGAATTCCATCATCTTGAATCCGCCGTTTTGAATTATGAAAATCTGATAACTGATTCGTAATAAGCGACCCCAAAAACTCTTGTATACAAGGTTTCACAAAAAATGGTTCAATAGAAAAATGTATGCTTCAAAGGGTTAATCCAGGATTTTTGTTGCACGCGATATTGTAACATATCGTGATAGCAAACGCGACTATGTTAGCAGCTTGTGCGTTAAACTGTCCGCGAAAGCATAAGACGAAACCGTTGCAAAATGAATTCAAAAGTTTCATTCTAACTGCGCATTATATATTTCTTCTCTAGGATATGTTCAAACTTTCAAGTTCTTCTCGTTTGAGGTTGTACGGTATATCATTTGCGAAAACAATGTTGGTCTTACCATGAAGTCTACGGAATATTCAAGCACCGTGACAAAGTAGAATATTCTAACTTCCTGACGATGTCAGCTTTTCCCGCTTTATGTCCTAACGGAGATATGTACAAAGTTATTCGTGCGCCTTACGTCACGAACTTTCCAATATCGCGTCCATATATATTTAAACCAAAAAAAGACGATACGGTATGTTTTCGATTTTGTATCTTATTTTTTTCACATTTTCTAATCCTCGCACTTCTCTTGCACTCTTTCTGACATCTGAATAAGATCGGTCCCAGTAGAGAAATTTTGATTATATTCCTTTATCGTGTCATCTTGATAAAATATTAAATCCTGCTATTATTCTTCGTTTCCACTTAGTTGTACTGTTAATACACAACAATTCCATTCAATCGTGTATAAAGAGCTTGCGACGAGATGACAAGTCATAACGCAATATAGAC